ACAGCTGGTGCTGCCACAGGCATGCCTACTTTGAAGGCAGGGGCAGCCTGGAGTCCAGACACAGGGATGATAGATAAATCAGGCTTTATTTTCACGGGAGAAGCTAAGGCATCTTCACTGCCTCCACACCACAGGAAGGAAGCCATGATTTTGCTGGAGGATCCAGAACCCCTGTGTTGTGTTCGGTGGGCTCGAGGGCACCTGAGGTACCTCTACATGCAAGAAGGGTGACAGTAGATTTCTCATGAGACAACTTGTACTTTCTGGAAGGGCAGGAGTGTTCTCCAGAGGCTCCGGCCAGCCAGCCAACTTGGGAATTCAGGGAAGTGGCATCCCAGGAAAGTACGAGGAAGGTGCAGGCCCCTTCCTGGAATTCATGAGTTTGAGCAAGATTTTGGCATAACAGTCCAGAAGTCTTTCCTTGGGTCATCAGTCCTCCTGACTGCTGGTCCTACATCCTGCAGGACGTCAGGGTTGCAGGAGTTATGGCCTCATCAGATCATGGCAATGTGTGGACTGTGACACACGTGTGCTCTTGCGGGACAGTTATACACTTGCCTTGAGGGGGAAGGTAGTCAAGAACCTAAGGATTACCAGGGGTCAGCTGATACCGGTGAGCACATTGTACAAGTAGAAGAGATGGAACAGGTGAAACGCAAAGATTTTATCAAAGCACAGATGGTGACAACTTCAGAGTAGCTGTGGGCACTGTGGTCATTCCTACAAATCTCCACACGCAGAGAGAAGTGATCATCAGTGACCATTTACATCATTGTAAGCAGAGATGTGTGGGTATGGGGGTGGCCCTGGTCCAGCAGACCCTCCAAGGGCCCTGTGCTCATGTGCCAACCTGGGTCTGAGCATGCTGCCACTCTGAACATATTTACAGGATGATTGCCACTGTGATTCTCTTTTTTGAAGATGAATTTGGACCCAAAGCCACATATACTAGGCACACATCAAGAATGTTATTACCCAGAGATATTCTCAGCCACTATGCAGACCACCACATTTTGTACAATGCAAACATTGATGTACCTAAACTGGTTTGATGTTGGTTTTTCTTCTGACACAACTGATGCAGGTCTCCCAGTCTTAATTGTTTCCAATGTTTAAAATTTGTCTCTTGGGTAATCTGGCTCAAATTTTGTTAGCCAGAAATACAAGTAGCAGTTCACATTCTACCATGTTCTCCTCTCTTCCTCGCCCAAGTCTAGCACTGCTGAAGATCTGACGCTGTGAGAGCTACTTCACTTGACCTGGTTGCAAGTTACTACTGAAGAAAGTCTTGGGCCCCTGCCACGTGGGAGACAAAGAAGAAGCTCCTGGCTTCAGACTGGCCCAAGTTGAACCACTGCAAGCATTTTCAGAGTGAGACAGTGGGTAGAAGATTCTTTCTCTCTGTCTCTCCTTTCTATAAATCTGCTTTTTTTTTAAATGAAAATAATTAAATCTTTATTTTAAAAAAGAAAGAGTAAGAAGGGGAAGAAGGAAAAACGTGGGTGAAATAATTCAGGTATGAGAAGACTCGGGCTTGGGTTAAGGTTATACAGAGGATCGGCAAGGTTTGTTGCTTTAGTGGGATGCTATGAATGTGAAAAGAAGGAAGAATGGCTGTAAGATTACGCGCAGGTTTCCGGCATGAGTGGGTGGATGGCTGGCACAGTTGTCATCAGATACAGAGAACACAGGGGAAGAACAAGTGGCTGAGGAGCATTAGGGGAAATGAGCGTTCAGTTCGGGCCCTTTACATTTGCAGCACTTCTAGGACAGGTAGTGGGACACGCAGAGAGGAGCTCAGCAGAGAGGATGAGGCCATTGTTAGAGGTAATCTTTGGCCTCCAAACATCTGACATTCTATGATAATTTGTCACTCAAAATTGGCATCTCACTCTATCATGTGGCCCTACTGTTTTCCCATGATGATTGGGCATGTATTGGAAAGTTCCATTATGTTTTCCTCATACAAATGAGTACAAATTTGGAAAAGCAAAAGCATTAATAATGGTAATACAAATATTATTTCAAATTTGTTTCAGTTATAAAATGGAAATTACTGTAACTGCAAATATTTAATTTCAAGGGAATGCTTTAAACACAATGTATTTATGTCTTTAATTGTGAACAAAATGAATAGAAATACAGAACATAAATTTTGAAAATCTAGTTCTTAAATTTGTGACTAGAAGGAAAAGTATGATTGGGGATTTACATATTACTTTGAAACTCTCCAGAAATCAGCTCCCCCTACCCCTTACCCCTGCCTACAATGTCTCCCATTACATGCATGTCTTACTGCCCAACTTCCTCTTTAGAAAGCTTATTTTACCTATTTCCATTCCATTTTAAAAGCAGAGAGATGGACAAATGAAGAGATATCTCCCATCAACTGGGTCACTGCCCAAATGCCAGGAACAGCTAGAGCTGGACCAGGACAAGGTCAGGAGCCCAGAACTCCATTTGAGTCTCCTTCGTGTGCACAGACAGGATGCTAGATAGAAAGCAGATGCAGGGTGTAAACCAAGCGCCCAATAGAGGATGTGGATGCCCAGGTGATATCAACTGCCGCACCAACCTTCCACTTCTGTTTGACCCTGATGCACTAGACCTTTGCACATGGTTTTAGGATTTCAGTAGTCATCAGCACCAATAGGATCGTTGCATTTCTTTATTTAGATGTCATGTTAACCAAGTTCAACAATGCCAGAGAGCTGGTAAAGCCTTGCTTTGGGGTATGTCTGCTAGGGTGCTTCTCAAAGAGAGACCTGGGTAAAAAAAAGATCCATCTTCACCATAGGCAACATCTAATCAGCTGAGAGTCCAGTGGAACAGAAAAGAAAAGGAAAGACAAGTTTGAGCAATTAAAAAGTATCTTCTGAAAGGCAGAGGAAGGGACTGATGCAGAGACATCATGGGTAAAGCTTCCACCTATGGCACCGGCATCTGATATGGGCACCAGATCTAGTCCCAGCTGCTACGCTTGCGATCCAATTCCCTGCTTGTGTCCTAGGAAGGCAGTCAAGGATGGCCCAAAGCCTTGGGCCCCTGCACCCGCATGGGAGACCCAAAGAAACTCCTGGCTTCTTACTTTGGGATAGCCCAGCTCCAGCCACTGAGGCCATTGCAGAGTGAACCAGCGAAAGTAAGATCTATCTCTGTAGGTGTGTGTGTGTGTGTGTGTGTTTCTCTCTCTTTGTGTGTTTATAACTCTTTCAAACATAAAATGAATTTTTTTAAAAAAAACTGAGGAAGAGCCAGTTCTCTCTCTCTTCTGGAGCTGGAATAGCCATCTCCTCCTGTACTCAGAACACCAAGTTCTTGAACCTTTAGACACCGGATGGGTTACAGTATGGGCTGCCTTAGAGCTCCTGCCTAGAGATGGTGTTATCACGGGACTTCTTAGATTCCATAATCACGTAGAGGGAAACCCTAACACAAAAACTAAACTCTGCACTAACTGTAGCTGTTTCCTCAAGGTCTTTGACTGGTTGGAATGCTTGTCAACACCTCATTCAATCATGGTTTTTTTTTTTGGTTGACAAAACCATACAGAAATAATCCATCACTGCACTTAAACACTGGAAACAGTCCAGTTTTTTTAAACTGTAGCTTTCTAAATTTCTCCTATTAATTTTCTTATATTACTCAGTATTAGAATAAAGAGTTAACTAAACTCATGAAAATATTTAAAATAAAGGGATAAATTAAAACTATTCTGTAAGCCTACAAATGTGGTCACATACACACAACTTCTCTGTAATGACCAAGTATTGAGACTCCTAATATTTTTTTGTCCTTGGTTGTGAATGAGAGTAATTTAAGCTGACTGATTTGAAACAAAGTGTTAACCTATAAAAACTCCTCTTTGAAAACAGAAGCCACACAATTTTCTTGGCTAATAGACAATATTGCCAAGAGTTTCCACCTCTTTGGAAATCGATTCCAACAGAAGAATTATTGTTTTCCTACTATGGATTGTGAAAGGATTCTTCATATGCCCTGACAGGCACCAGCTTCAAACTCTTGGAACCATGTAAGATAACATACCTGCCAACGGTACAGTCAGATGAATGTATTTAAAACTGCTTTTTGGAAAGAAAACAAAGGAATGCAAGTCGTAAGTTTAGCTTTCTTTCTTTCTTCAGTTGTTTGAAAACCAGAGTGACAGAGATAGCCAAAGCTGTTTCATTATTCCAGTGTCTACCAGTCAGGGCTGGTTCAGGTTAAAGCCAAGAACAGGAACTGCATCCAGGTCTCCCATGTCAGTGGCAGGGATCCAAGCACCATTTCCCATCCAGCTCCCTGCCTGTGGCTTGGGAAAGCAGTCCAGGACAGCCCAAAGCCTTGGGACCCTGCACCCGCATAGGAGACCTCTGGAGGAGGCTCCTGGCTTCAGATCGGCTCAGCTCCGGCCATTGCTTGGGAAGTGAATCATCAGACAGAAGAGCCTCTCTGTCTGTCTTTCTCTGTGTGTATCTGACTTTGCAATAAAAATAAATAAATCTTTTCTTTAAAAAAAGTAATCAAGCTGAAAATGTCTTATATTTCTTGAAATATGAAAGAGCCTTATGAAATTAGAGTTTGCTGTTTCAGTTATCTGAAAATATTACTGGTCACTTTAACTTCCTGTAAGCAGAGCAGGTACATTAAGTAACAAGCTAGCATCACCTACTTAGGGGAGAGGGTGATAATACTGTCCTCATAGAGCACCATGTCTGGCTTTTGGTACTCAACTCTACCCAGGCCTCCTGAATGCCAGAAGCTAGCCCGTTCGCCAATTGCTTACTCAAAATGCAGCCTAGGAATCCATTTACATCTACCATTGAACTGCGATGCCACTAAGTTTAAGAGGACATTTCACAGAGGTGAGTACGCTCCCTTTATCTTTGCATCACTTCCGGGCACGGCCTTCCTTCCGCCTCCTGGGGCGGATGTGAGGACAGAAGCAGTGGTCTGTGGTACCCGGATGACAGCCAAGTCCCACTTGAACACCGCATGTGATGGCTACTCCCTGGAGAAGCGCAGTGCTGCTACTGCTGCTGCTGGCCTCGCAGGCCATGGCCCAGGCTGGCCGCCTGAAGGAAGATGCCAAGGTTCCCGCTGAGTGGCTGTTGTTGTACATCATCAAGGGCCGTGTAGAGGCTGGGAGCTACAACTACCACAAGCTGAACCGCGAGGGCAGGATTGTCCTCCACATGAGGAGCCTGAAAGGAGACGCAGACCTCTACGTGTCCGACAGCACCCTCCACCCAACCTTTGAGGACTACAAGCTTCAATCGGTCACTTATGGCCAGGATGGCTTGTGGATCCCGGCCAGCTTCCGACGCCCCGTGGGGATCGGCATCTACGGACACCCATCCCATCAGGAGAGCGAGTTTGAGATGAAGGTGTATTACATCAGGACCTCGGAGCAGCGCTCGTCTGGCGAGGTCGCGTTTGTGGCAGAGAGCACGAAGCCTGGCCAGAAGCAGGGAGACGAGTCTAAGGATGCGTCTATGGAGGACGAGTTCCTGTTTTGGATCCTCCTGATCAGCATTTTGAAAATGGTCCTGCTGCTTCTATACTGACCCCTGCCCTGGGCCGAGCCTTACTCGCGGGAACCTTGAAGCATGAGCCTTGTGCCGCTGCTGCCTCTTGTGATAAAGGATGGGACACAAAGCCTTGCAGGACCTCAGTTACCCTCAACGGAACAGGCTGTACAACATGTTCACACACCTGGTTTAAGAAACTGCAGGAACTAAATGAAATAGTACAGCCTTTCACACAGATAACGTACAAAGCTGATGACAAGATTGTACATATATGGGTTCTGAATAAATATTACAGTATAGTTTTCTCAGCATTACTGAAATCAGAATGATAATCTTTCATTTTACTTTTGATGATGTTTACATAGTTGATCATGGTGGGAAGGAACAAAGGTTAGGGAAAAGTGGATGAGATCAATTGTTTCTAAATTTTCCTTCTTCCTGTATCTGGTGGAAGGGAGAGAGATAAGGGGAGAAGCCCCACCCAGGCTCCCAACCACGTCAGTATCCAGGGAAGGGGAATGGTCACCTGATATCAACCCAGGTCCCCAGTGTGACTCTTGCTCCAAGGGTTCTCCTTAAGTGGTTTCAATAGTTATAAAATCCTGCCAGTCTCACTGATCCGAGCATGAGGAAACCCTTCAAAAACCCTTTGACTGACATACTCTGAGTTAGAATCTCCCTTTGCCCAGATATTTGCTCTCATCGGTTGGTTTGGGATAGTGGTCCAAATTGTCCTGCCCTCCTTCCTCTACTATGGTACCAGATGTTTTCTGAAGATCCCCATGAGCTGCCATATTCTCCATGTGCATCTGGATCTGCCATCCACTGCTCCACCTTTTACACTGAAGAGGACCACTTCTGACCACCAATCCTGGACGTGAGCCCTCATATCCCTGCACACGCACACCTGTGCCATCCCCCAGGTCCCACAAAGCCCACACCAAGCCACCACAAGCATGCCACCAGGTGGCCAGTGCAATTCATTTAGAACTGTTGGCACCCTGGGCCACCTGACAAGGACCTCGCCCAGACCCCCACCCACCCTAGAGCTCATGGACCCAGCACCGACCACAAAGGTGGGCCCAAGACCCAGGCCAGGTAACCCAGATCTTACTGGAACCCCTGCCCCTGGGAATCATGAACCTACCACACAAGTAGACTCAAGGACCTGGGCCAGGCAACCGGGACCCCGCCAAACTCCCTGCCCCTGGGCCTCACAGACTTGGCGCGTGCACACACACACACACATCTTTACAAAAAAAAATAGGCCAGGAGACTATGATGGCACACTAGTATGATTAACACAGAGTTGGCATTGACCAGGCCCAGAATGCCCTCCAGCTGTTAGCTGCTTTTTGCCCAGCACTGTAACACTTGCCTAAGTACAATGCAACCTAGCCCATTGCCTACAGCTGGGGCAAATTTTCTTTTCTTTCTGCCTGTATTTAAGGGAAGGGGGCAGGGAAGAGGAGAAATCACACCCAGCCTCCCACAGCCTCAGTACCCAGGGATGCAGAATGGCCACCCCATGTCATCCCAGGATCCCCAATGTGGAACTTGCTCCAAGGTTTCTACTCAAGAGGTTGGGATAATTCTGAAATGCTATTGATCTCATTGATCCAAGCATGAAGAAATCCTTCCAAGGTCCATTGGTTGTCATAATCCACCCAAGAGTCTCCATTTGCCCAGATATTTGCTGTCACCAATTGTTTGAGATAGTTCTCCAAATTGTTCTGTCCTCCATAATCTGCTATGGTACCAGATGTCCTCTGCAGAACCAAATGGACTGCCATATCCTCCAGGTGCATCTGGGTATGCTGTCCACTGCTCTGTCTAAGCCACTGAGGAGACCCAGTTCTGCCATTTCCACTGCACAGTCAGACCACACATACTGTGATTCTCCCCATGGTTTGGAGTTCTGTGTCCAGTGGTTCAGTTGGGAGGATGCCCAAAGAAACCTCAACTGAAGTGGTCCCAGATCTTACTCTTGTGTGTGCTTGCCAGTATTGGGTCCAGCTATGTCAATCACCCACATCAGCCTATTCACACACTGGTAGTTGCAATTGCTGGGTCAGTTGTATGTCTCCAGCCCTGTCTCTTACACAAGCCAAGAATATTGCAATCCAGCCCAACTCTGCCCAGCACACACTCCGCCCTCACATACACCAGCAGGAACAGCAGCCTAATTGGAGCAACCCCTAATAACCCCCACTAGGCCTCCCCACAGCCCTGGTTCCTGTACTTGGCAAAATGTGCAGCAGACTGTTGTGGTCTGTCCCATATCCCATTCAGCTCTCATTTACATTAATGGGCTTTGAAGCCTAGCTCAACCCAACTGACCCCATTATCTAGCCCATACTCAATAATGGTGACGGTACTGCCACCTATATACCCAGGCCTACCCAAAGCCCTGGTTCTCATGCTCACCAGTGAGAGTTGCAACCAATCAGATAGATGCCCACACTTTCCCTACTGGGCCCACTTCCAGTCCCAGATCTTGCACTTTCCAGTCTGCCAGGACTTGTCCCCAGTCCCAGCACTTACCAGCTAATGCTGGGGCAGAGCCCATCAGCCTGCTCTTACTTACTCTGGCCTGAGCATGCACCAGTGAGACAGCCAATTAGCCCAGCCTGGCTCTACCCCTAGCATAGTTCACATGCATGCCAACAAGTGTTTTAGTCTTACCCAACCCAATTCTAACCCCCCCCCCGTCCCACTTCTCACGCTTGCCACTGGAGGCAGTGGCCCAGCAGGGGAGTGCCCCCACCAGGGTATCACCCCCACCCCAGGTCTCACATGTGCTGGTGGGTGCTATGGCCTATGCTGGCACAACCCACCTCACCACACCATTTGCCAAAGAGTACTGTGTCCTGGCCAAGCCCTATTGGCCCCAGCTCATGTTGGTAAGTGCTGCAGCCTAGCTCAGCCCTGACAGATCCCAACCTAATGTCAACTGGCTGGTGTTTTGGCATTACCCTGTCCATCAAGCACCCCGTCTTTTTTCTCAGATCTGCCAGTGGCTGTTGTAAACTGGCCAAACCTGGCCTATGCCCAGACCTGACTACACATATGCTGGTGGATCCTGCACCCTAGCTTAGTCTGGGCTGCTCCCAGCCTTGGTTCTTGTGTTCAACTCTAGGAATTGTTCCCTGACAGCCGAGTTCTCCAAGCTCTGCTTTCACATTTCCTCCCAGTGGCAGATCCTTCACACAGTGGTGGGTCCTTGGCCTAGACTGACTTAGTCCACATACTGCCCTGGCAAGAATATTGATCTTGCCAAAGTGGCCCATACCCATTCCAGTTCTTACTGCTGGGTGCTGCAGCCCAGCCACACCTGGTCCATACTCAGACACATGGCTCTCGCATAGTTCAGCATGTACCAAGACCTATCCCAGCGCCTGCTACACCCTCTCTGGCTCTCATGAACACCAGTGGGTGCTGGAAGCTAGCCCAGTCTGGTGCATTCATCAGGAGTTACCCATAGTTTCATTACTGGTCCCACTCCCAGTCCCAGATCTTGCACTCTCCAGGTGATTCTGCAAATTTAGCTTTACAGGATTTGCCCCCAGTCCCAGTGTTTATCAGCTCATTCTTTGAGAAAGCCCAAGCGGCCTGCTCTTACTCCGGCCTAAGCATGCACCAATAGATACAGTCAGTCAGCCAAGCCTGGCTCTCCTCCTAATCCAGTTCACATGCAGACCAGCAGGTTTTGTACCCCTGCCCAGACTGGTCAGCCCCTAGTCTCAGTTCTCATGCTCAGTAGTGGGACCAGTGGCCCAGTAAAGAGTCTCTTTCTGCCTTCTTTTCAGGGCTCGAACACCACCCTCCCAGGTCTCACATGTACTGGTGGGTGCTGCAGCCCAGTCTGGCATGTCCCACTTCACTTCGGCATTTGCCAGTGGGTGTTGCCAACTGACCCAGCCAGTCTGCCCCCAGATCCAGCTCATGGTAGTGGGTGCTTCAGCCCAGCCCAGTCCAGCCAGCATGGATATCCCCCAGTCCCGGCCCTAATATGCACTGGCCAGTGCTGCAGCCCAAGCCAGGATGTCTTACTCCCCATCCTGGTTCTCACATCTGCCAGTCAGTATCATGAACTGATCCAGCCTGACCTGCTCCCAGACCTAATCCACAGGTATGCTGGGAGATAATGCAACCTGGTCTGTCTGGGCTATTCCCAGCCTTGGTTCTTGCACTCACCTGCAGGATCTGTGTCTTGACAGAGGAGTTACCCAAGCTTCTCTATCATGTCTCCTCTCAGGGGCAGATGTTAGGCACACCAGTGGGTCCTTCGCCCAGGCTGACTTATTTCATCTCCTGTCTTGGCAGGAACAGTAGCCTTGCCCAACTGGCCCACACCCATTCTGGTTCTTACTGTTGGGTGTTTCAACGCAGCTACACCTGGTCCACACCCAGACACAGCTCTTTCATGGCTAAGCAGGTACAGAGACCTAGCCCAGCCCAGCCTAGACTCATCCTGGATCTCAGGAGCACTAGTGGGTGTTGGAGTCTAGCCCAGTCTGGCACATCTTAAATCCAGACCATACCCATGCCAAGGGACACTTCAGTTATGCCCAGCCCAGATCACCACCCCATTCCAGCTCTTGAGGTAGCCAGTGGGAACACAACCCAGTTGGGGCATTTCCTTAGCTCTCCAACCAGGCCTATTTCCTCTGTCTGAAGTGCCAGCTTCCTTTGTAGGTGCCAATTCGTGTCTCAACTGCTCTATTTCCCATCCAGCTCCCTGGTTGTGGCCTGCAGAAACAATGAAAGATGACTTATGTACTTGAGATCCTACACCCACATGGGAGACCAGAGGAAGCTCCTGACTCCTGGATTTGGATTGGCTCAACTCCAACCATGGTGGCCATGTGTGGAGTGGACCAGTGGATGAAAGAGGATCCTTCTCACTCTATCACCTTCTCCCTGTAAATTTGTCTTTCAAATAATAAATAAATAAATGTTTACAAAATAAAAAAGGTAAAAGACTAAGAGACCAGTAGGAAACTGACAAGCAAATGGCATCAAAATTCTGGATA